GGCAGCGGCAGCCAAGAGCGAAGTCATGAAGGGAGACAAGCTTGGGAGACAAGCCGGCAGCGGCAGCTAAAGGCGAAATCATGAAGGGAGACAAGCTTGGGAAACAAGGCGGCAGCGGCAGCCAATTTCCGCAATCCAGAACCCATCCATTGAGAAGTAAGAACCCCTATAGCTTCCAGCTATCTGTAAAATATCAATCACTTTTTCCAAACATTTGCTGCCGTGAACTGTGCCTAGAATTGGTTGACAAGAAAGTAGTTTAATTGAAAAGAAAAGTACAGCCAGTTCTAGCCTCTGACATGGCGCCACCAAAGAGTTCCTCATCTGGGCACTCATCAGCGCAAGCTTCTGGTTGCAATTTCCTGCCACGATGGATACATTTGCAGCAATGTTCAGGACCAAAAGGCTACCCACACAAAAAAACTGACAAACACCAAAATATAGAGGAGATCCTATGAACCTTCATGGGCAATGGCAAATCATCTTCTCATGGTTAGAGAATTGTCGCTGTCGTTCCAGCGGCTCTCTGCCTTTTGATGCGCATGAGATAGGTTGAGCCCTGAACACCATACAGCCTGGCTTTGCCATGCTGGCACATCAGGTTCCTGTGCCCCTGAAGCACAATGCAGGTTCTGGCCTTCTGAAGCACTTCGGAAGGTCAAGTATGGATCTGCGTGGGGGTACCTTGATTTGGGGAGGCCAAAAGGTTTGCTTAGGGGGCGACCTCAAATCTGCTTCGGAATGCCTCGCGCATTGACTGCGGTGAATTTGTCACATTGAAGCTGTGCGAGATGATGACATTGATCATCGGTCACTGAAAAATTGTTCCTCCCTGGCACCTGCAGCCTCTGCGCCACTGCATACCTTTCACAACGCCTCTTTGCTGACGTTCTCACATTGCCAGAGGCAACATGATCTGGAGGGAGCTAGAATCACAGCCAATAGCAACAGCCTGAAGCCGCATACATGTACATATGTTTTACCTGCCTGTAGTATGTATATGTATGTATGTACTCATTATATAGGTAGATAGATATACAGTAGCTATAGATAGTATGTGCGTTTTTTAAAAACACAACTCAACGTATCTGCATCTACACCATCAAAACGTGGTCAACCTTGGCTGGACAGGCTCTACCTTCACTGCAGCTTCAAACACTTGAACTAGCAGCGGATATCCTTTTATACTTTATACTCACTGATCCTCAGCACCCATGTCAGCCCATCGTGGGCTGGGACTCCGCTGTTGTGCACCAGACACCATTTGTGGCGTGTCCAGCTTATAGGTTGCCTGCCTTGGCGGTCGGGTTACATGATCCCGGCTTTGGGAGCACTAATTGCCGACAAGGAGCGGTACAGCCGCTTGAGGGATTTGAGTCCTGGGCTGGTCGGAAGGTCTAGAAATCACAGCTGAAAGAGCACAAGCACGCACAAGCATCATGAAACTCAAGCAAGCCACACTGGCGCGCCAGGCAATTGCATCAAAACGGTTCCACCCGCAGGAAGCATAGGATATGGAGTCATCGTAACGGGGTACACTTGCGCTGACACGGCGCAGCCCAATGCCCTGAGCTGCAACCACAAATGTTGCTTCAACTGTGTTGGGCTAGCTTGAGTGAGTCCCCTTTCAAGCCTCACGATGAGGGCGCTTCAAAGACACACAACCTAGAAAGGCTTGGACGTTGCATGAGAAGGCTTGGCCAAGCTTCTGATGTATTGGACCAGAAATTGGGACTGCAACTACTTGGCCAGGTGAGCCAGGGATTGCCATCACTTGACCACCTTGGATGACCATGCCACCAGGTCCGCTGGGACTTGGCGGTGCGCCAGGGATGCCTCCAAACACTGCCCAAAACAAAGTGCTCAACAGTCCCAGTCCAATGCACTGTGCATATTTGTTCCAACAGTCGTAGCACCTCTAGTTGCATCTGCACATCTGGCTGATGCATCTTGCCCCTGGCATGGCAGAAGAAAAACAAGGACCAAATAGTCTTGCTAAAGTAGACTTAAGCGTGAACTTACCACACACACACACACATTTCCAGCCAAGCATGGTCAAAAGCTAAGATGATAATGATGGCCCGACTGCTCAAGCCTGCACCGCTTGTATCGGATGTGTAGCTTGTGCTACTTGTGCCACTTGTGCGGCTTGCGCCGCTTGGACTGCTTGTGCCGCTTGTGCGACCTGCGCTGCTTGCGCTGCTTGGGCTTGTGCAGCCTGCGCACGGGCTTGTGCTTGAGCCTGTGCTTGAGCTTGAGCTTGCGCCTGAGCCTGCGCTTGGGCTTGTGCCTGCACTTGGGCTTGCGCTTGCGCTTGAGCTTGAGCCTGCACTGCTTCCCGGTTTGCAGCTTCAGCTTGTTGCTGCCGTAGGCGGGCCACTTTCCTTGGCATGTTTGACACGTTGCCGAATGCATATATCTAAAGCAAAGCAGTGGAAGCACTCGACGCTTTGGCTCGCCAGGATACTGCTTTTTTCTAAGCTTTGGCTCGCCTTCCGGGCATAGGTGGCAGCGCTTGCATGCTGCACCGTTGATGCACCCGCTGGGTTTTTTGTGGAACCATGCCTCAGTTTCAAGTGGCCAACAGGAGAGTAAACGGGCTTTCTGCCTCTCTATCTTTCCAAAGCACACATGGCTGGCATGCAGGAAGCCCCTCCTGCCAAGCACAGCCACTCATATCATATATATCTTATGAGAGTCTTGGTGCCACCATACACCCAAAAGGTCACAGCAAACGTTGTTCTTGGATGTTCTTGGAACGTGCAAGATTTGCACAAGTGCACACGTCCTCATCAAGAAGCCCATGCAGTCGAGAACCCTCCGAAGGTGGGTGTTGCAAGACTTCTGGGGCTTGCAAAGCCAAACCCAAAAGTTGCCGCCCAAAGTGAGATGGACTCATCCTGGGCAAAGCGTCCGTGCACGAAGCATATTGTAGACATGTGTACCCATTCACATCCCAACAACAAATACAACCTTAAGGCCTTAGGACAAAACAATGCTCCAAAATAGTCTGCAAACAGGGGGCTGGGTCTGTGGCGGTGAGTCGCTCTCCCGATAAGGGACTGACGCCGGCGCTTGTCCTATGTGACGGACACATCATGATACATGAAATGCCCCATGAAGCGGTCACTGATGTGCAAACAATTCGTTCACTTCATATCGACAAGTCAGACCTGTCACTTCCTGCACCTCATCCTCATCATGCCCGGTTTCCTTGGCAAAGAGGTTGTCCAGCTCTCTACGGCTGCATTCAATACCGTGCGTGAGGTCAGCAAAACTATGCAAAACTCAAAGGCTAACGAGGAAAGTGATTCAACCTGAAAAAAAAAAATCCCCTGTTTCGACAAATACAGTAATTCATATCATCAGCCCGAGAGTCGTGAGATATAAAGAATCTCGCAGGTGACGCAGTCTCTGACATGCGAGCGGTGCATGTCTTGGCCCCGTCATGGAACGAAGTCATGGAATCCGGCGACTCCTCATCTGCTACATCGATAAACGTGTTCTTGACCTTGGCGAGAGGACGAGGGATTGGGAAAAGAAGCATGCGTTTGCGGATTGTCTTGCTGAGCAACTGTCAACGGAAGTTCGGCATCAATGGGAATGCCGTCCGGCGAAGCTGCGGGCGAGTGTGAGAAAGACCTCAGACAAGCTGAGTAGTCAAAAGAAATCAGTTAGGGTGTCCCAAATACCGTTATGACTTCTGAGATTGCCAGGGCATGGGCTCAAAGGCAGCAGCTAGAATCTGATGGCCAATGCGACCATTACCTTCTTCTGTAAGGCGCTGCTGCGCGGGGGCAATGGGCAGATGTGCTGCAGGCATCGAGCTGAACTTGTGCCGAGATGGCTGCAGTTGCACATGTCCAGCATTGCTTGGCAATGGTGAATCCTACGGCCCTTGTTGCCATGCCATGTCATTCTACGGCCCTTGTTGCAATCGTTCCTAAAGCGATATGTGCCTTTGTTACTAGTAGCTTGTTCCCAGTAGTAAGGCCAGGAGCGCCCCTAGTAGCGTCCTTGCTCCTAGTAGCG